GACTATATATATATATATATATATATAATGAAATCAGAACAACTGCATGGTGGTCCTACATTTGGAATACCTTGCCCTTTTCTTTCCTTTGTAGGAAAAAGGCTCCAGAGTTGTGAGTGGGTGGTCCAGATCATTTCACCCAAATGCAGCTGTTTCATCTCATGTCATTAAACTTAGCATTAAAAACAGATTATTCTAACCCAACTGAAAAATAATTGGGTAGATTATTAACTTAAATAATAGGACATATGATATAAGTCAGTAACTGAGACACACATGTGCATTTGTGTATTAGGCTAGGGATGAATTAGGCTGTTGATAAACCAATCCAGTATGTATGAAATTCTACGTATCCCATGCTCAAAATTTTGTAATCTTGGGCAGCGAGTTAGTGGATTTTTGCACCCCTAGAACTATATTTTGGTGGTGTAAACTGCTGAACATACAGTATCTAGCTCAGTAGTGGAGCTCATTAAGTTAACTGGGGCATGACACCTGCTTCTTGGTTGAGAAAGCGTATGTAAATGTGTAACTGCAAGTATATAATTCAAAAAAAGAATAAGATTTCATCTGTTTCAAATGTCTGTAAAAAGGAGAGACTTAAAAGCTCTTAATAATCACAATGCTAAATGTACGTTTACATCAATAAAAGGTACCTAACTTACAGCATAAATTAATGGTTCCCTGTTAAGTTTTTGGTTTGAATGACTCATTTAAATGGGCACAAACTTTTCGTTGTGAATTGGTGTAGTAAAGGTTAATTATTTTTCATGGTTTAACCAGTTTCACGAAATAGGTACCTGCTGAAAGAAAATACCTTTAAACAGTCCTCATTTAATTACGAAAGTGGGTTCTACTTTGTTTCCACACCCACGTGCGGTGATAAACAAAACAAAACTGCGCTGCTGGAGAAACAGAGAGAACACCATGGTTACAATATGTGGTGTCACCATTCGCATACATTCTACAGAACTGTTACAATTATTTATAGTGAGAACTTGTGATCGATTATCCTCAGTGTAATCCAATCGTCTCACTGAACCACACAGGTAGTAAGCCAAAAAATTTATTGCATAAAAATATTAAGTGAAGTGGGCCAACTAATAGTTTATGATCAAATTTTACGTTGAAAAAAAAAAACGGTGGATAACTACAGAGAAATTAAACGTTGCAATACTTGTATATAGTAGTTTATCACATCTTATAGCCCTCACATAATACTTTCACTACACGTTTTTATAAACAAATATATACTGTATAAAGTATTCTTCCTACGCTATACAGAGCAGTTCAACTTCCTATACTTAACACTTTTTCTTTATTTTGCTGTGTATACTTTTTTCTATGTACAAATAAGTGCATACATGGATCTTATTTTACAAACTTGCATGCTAAACTTCTTAAAATTTTCGCTTTGTAACTACAAACGCTTGACAATAAGCAAAGGTAATACTAAAACTCTTCATATGAATCTGTACATGTGACACAAGGACTTTTGTTTTTTTTACAAGTTTACTCACTTTCAAATTATCAAGATCATGAGTAAGCTAAAGAACGAGTTTTTGGCCTAGAAGACCTTGTGCTAACACCACTCTGGACTGAGCTTCGAGTCTTTCTCTGTAAAGTATTTTTTGATAACATCCGCTTTGAATTCCGTGTTTGAGAGCCTCCATTACTGACAGTAGTTCGGCACCTCTTCGAGAATGAAGATCGGGTGGAGTTTTCACAACAAGGACAACTGCGCCTCAACGCCCGCTTTGAGGTATCTCTAGAACGTGTTCGACCCCTGATGCCATCTTCCAGGGGTTTGCACTTTTCCTCATTTTTGTCACTTTGGTTGGCTTCCTCTTTACAAGATAAATTGCTTTCAGTTGATCTTCCAGAAGGTTGAAGACATCTGATGCTCCAGCGGCTTGCACGAGAGTTTGGCCTAGACATGTCTTCAGTTTCTGGGATCTTCTCAGAGTTTCCAAATATGGAAGAGTTAGATGAAATTGCAGTATAATTTTCTGGAGATGATTGTTTTGCAGGATCAGTTTCTTTTGTAATTGAAGTCTTTGATATATCACAGTCCTCCTTTTTGATAATCATTCTGTATGAAGTCAGTTGGCTATCTTCGACTTCATCCTTTTCTGTTGATAATTTATCTTGTGGAATTTCAAATATGCTATCAACAGTTTCTTGAATTTTTTTTCTCAAAAGTCTTCTCTGAGGTTGGGTAGAGTTAGCAACACGTTTTCTTAAACCGGTATCAGACACATTTTCTAAACTTCGCCATCTTGGAACATTTCTTTGAAATTTTGAATCTTTAATCAGACTTCTAGTAGGGCAAGAACTACTATCATCTTTAATTACAATTTCTTGAACATTATGTCTAAGAATACTTTTTTCTAATAGTATATCTTTAGATAACATTACAGATGGATTGGAAAAGCATGGACCTATCATAGATATTTCTCTTTTATGTTTTGGAAGGTGTTTTTCACAATAAGTACCTACAGCTTTATCCTGTTGGGAATTAGAAACTGTGTCTTCTGTAAGAGGGTCATCATCTGTGTCTCTCAAAACACTTGTATTATGTTCCAAATCTTCCACGGAAGTAAAGGACTTTTCATAACACAGAACATCTTCTTGACTTCTGCTTCTTAAAATACTTTTCATTTGACTCAAAACACTTCCTGTTTGACTCGTATCTTTAACTGCCTCTCTTCTCAGATCACAAGGATCATCATTTATCATGGTTTCTTGACTTCTGCATTTGAGAAGATTTTGTTCAATTTTATCTATTTTTTTTTCATCTGAACCAGAATTTGTATCTTTTGCACTTTCTGAAATTTCATGTCCTGGAGCAGTTTTGTTGGATTGTGGTTTATCACATGTAATTCTATTTAAACTAGATAAACTAAACTTTTCTCCTTGTTTCTTGTCCTTCAAATGAACATTTTTTAGGACATATGATTCTTCTGGAAAACTTTCAACCATCTTCGATGAAGTTTCATTGGCTACAACATTTTCATTACTGTTGTATCTTAAAAGTTTTATATCAGGTTGGAGAACTTTAGTAAGCCCACTGGATGAACTAACGGAATGTCCAAGTTCTGAAAATGTATCCTGATTTCTACATCTCTGCACTCGTCTTCTAGCTCGTGTACTTTTAGCTATACTACGAGGTGAAGAATGAGATCCCAAATGTTCATCCATTCCATAACTAATATGTTTTGGTGAACATCCTTTTAGCCCAGTGCAGCTTTCTTTGTCCTCTTCTGATTCCTGTTGCTTTAAAGGAATTTTTAATGATCTGCCATCTCTCTCTTCATTCACCTTCTTTTGACTGCTATGGATATCTTTTTTATTTGTATTTAAGTCTCGTAGGCTATCCCAAGCAATATCTTCAACAATATTTGTGACTTGCTGTTTTATAGAATTATCATTATCTATGACTTTCTCAGAATTTGAAGTAACAACTTCAAAATTATCTATGACTTGATTGCTAACAGATACCGCTGCCTGTCCATGGTCCAAGCTTTTACAATTATCAAGGGTAACATTTTCTTCATTACCAGCAAAATTCTTCTGACAATCAGATGATGTAATTTCTCTTTCTTCTAACTTTTGACCACCTAAAGACTCTCTTGTATTATCTACAAAACTCTTTTGATTATCAAGAAATATATTTTGTCTACAATCAGAAACACACAGGATACTGTCTGATAATTCAGATCTTACAGTGTTTGATTCCTGAACTTTTTTCATGGGCTTTACAGTAAAACTTAAAGTTGTACCCTCAGAGTTTCCTCCTTGACTTTGTTTTGAAAAAACGTTAGATGAAGCACTTTCATTTTTCATACAGTAACTAGAGCTATTACAAACATTCTCTGTTACCACTGACGTGACAACAGCTGGAAGATCCTGGGACATCAAAGAACCTCCACCAAGATCAGAGCATCCAAGCACCTGAGGTGCACCATAAGAAACAGGTATTTCTGGGGGAGATAACAATATTCCCATCTCTGAAGTAAGGCTTACAGATACAGGTTGAAGAGGTTCCCATTTTTCAGTACTATGAAGCATTTGATTCACATCACTGAAATCTGTATCACATGGTGGTAAAGGCTGAAGGGAAGAATATTCTTTGGTAACTAGAGGCTCGGAATCGGCGGGAAGTATTGATTGGGAGATTGTACTTGTAGGAAGCCCTACAGGATCATTTATACAGTACTGATTTGTGTTTACTTGAGCCTGAGACTGCATTATAGGGGATACAAATTGAGGATTCACATCTCTGTGAATAGTGCTTAATGGCACAGGATAAACCCCTGGCTGACCAACAAAGGATGGGTTAGTTGGTAAGAATTTCTGATTGTTTAAGTATTGGAAAGATCCCTGTACTTGGGTTACAACAGGTTGTGTGTGAATAATGTTAGAAGACTGGTAATGAATATTTTCTGGACGTAAATGAGAAGGATTCTGATTTCCCTCACCAGTGAGTGGAACTGAAGTTCTCTGATGAACAGTTGACATTTCACTTCTAATTTGACTTTGTGACTGAGAAACAAATGGTACATCCATTGCAACTGAATCAGGAGAAACTGGAGTCTCCAGACCTGATCCTTGAGGAGAAGGAAGATCTACCTTGTGAACGTTTTTCTGATGTCTTCTTAAATTGTATGCTGAAAAAAAACTTCTACTGCATGAGAGACACCAAAATTTTTTCAGTTCTTCTGGTGATTTTCCGTCAGAACCAGTATTTGAAGAGGAGGTAACTTTTTTCCGCTTCTTCTTACTCTCACCAGACTGATTTTCAGCACATAGAGATTTCTTACGTTGAGATTTAGCCTGTGGTTTAATTTCTGCATCTTCAGGTACCCATGATGCATTTGAATAAAGAGAGAGAGACTGAGTGGGTAATTCAAATTTCTGGCTGTCCACATTAGAGGCACTTGTCACAAAAGACAAAGGTGGATCCTCAACAACACAAGGTGTTGGTGGATGAATTACCAAACTCCCAGGAAAAGTAGATGATGATGTGAGAGGGATTACTTCTTTGTCTGCATAGTTCATATTGTACTGTGTGTAGTTCTGAACAATCTGTGAAGTAGAACATTGGTGTTAAAAAATGTGAAAAACACACATTATTTAACAAAGTCATGTCAGAATTACTCAACACATTCATAACTTAAGAATAGTGTAAAAAAAATATCCTAACAAGTAAAACAAGCAATTTTGTTTTCAAACAATAATAAAAAAAATATAAATAAAATGATTTTAAGTTTAATATCTGAATAATCTTGACGAAAAGATTCAATGAAATGATTCTAACCTTTCTGTCATCTTTACCAAGATTCTCAATATTGACACTTAGGTCATATTGACCTTTATGAATAACTAGAATTTATAACTTATCAATTATTAACTCCATCACCAAAGGTGAGGGAGGTATGTTTTCATCCCTCTGTGTGTGTGTGTCAGCAAGATTTCTTGAAAAAGGCTGAATGGATATAGACTAAAGTTGGTATACATTTAGACTATGACCCAACTCAGAAGTAATTAGTTTTTAGAGCATCAAGGTCATGAAAACTAAAAAAATCCCTATCTATTAACATGGGGACTGACTTTTCGCACTATTTTTGCTATATCACTCAGTCAAAAATTACTAGATTTTGATTAAACTTGGTGGGCATATGTTGAATATTATTCCTCATTGTCCTGCCAAAATGGTCTGTGTCCACTGATGATGACGGACTTATGGACACATTTTTGTATTTTCTGAGGGCCAAACATGATCAATGCTGCATGGCAAATGGATGCGCTCTACTAGAGAGTAATATATAGGACAATGGTTTGTGTGATGTTACATTACAATAAGACTGATAATACTTTTAAGCAACTATTTTGTTAAAGTACTGGCCCTATATGGGTTTCCAGTAAGAACAACATAACAGCATCACAACATCACACAAGTTGATGTGTTGCATGCTGCTGCTGATGAGGAACAATGGATTCACAAGTGTGTGTGGGAGAGGAAGTCACCATACTCCTATGTACACAAAAGGTGTTCCTTACTATAGCCAAAATTTATTGTTGTTGCAATGAAAAGTGGCAATAGAGCCCACATATGAAATATACTATGTTTCCAAGAAAGTAAGCAGCATTAGCACTGACAGTTACCTATTTGAGGGATGAAGTACTGGTGTTGTTATGCAATTAACAGGTGATTGGTCATTGGTACAGTGAGCAAAATGGAAGTAACTAAGGGCAACACTGATACTTGGGTTGTATGTCAAGCACCAATTCCACAAGAGAAGAGAATACACAGTTTCCAAAATATTTGAGATTGCTAGTGCAAACAACCTAGACACAATGCAGCAGCAACTCGGTGATTTGTTGGCTAATTATGCCAATGTATCTCTGGGACCAGACGGACAAATGAGTCAAACAGAAGTAACCCAGTGTCATATAGATATAGATGATGCATGTCCAATTAAACAACTGCTGTGCCAGCTTCACTAAAGCACTAAGGAGGTAGTCAGCACTGAGACAGAATCAGATGGCCTTCAGAAAGTGTTTGATCATCTTCACTAGTGATTTTCGGGAAGAAAGATGGTATGCTCAGGTTCATTGTTTTTTTTTTAGATGGGTGAATGTGATAACATGCACTGATGCCTTTTCACTGCTGAAAACAGATGGATGTCTAGATGCTTTGGATCTGGCATCCAGATACCAGCAAGTTGAGCTGGATGATGAAAGATTTAAGACTATTTTTGGCATGACAGATGGTTTTTAGGAGTTTTGCATCATGCCACTTGGTTTGTGTAACATGCCCACAGCTTTTGAGAAGCTAATGAATCTTACACAGAAAGGGCTGTAACGGAAGAACTGCATGATCTATGCTGATGATGTCTTGGTGTTTGATCACATGTTTAAGTCTGCAGCCAAGAACCTGAAAATGATATTCCAACAATAAAAAAGGTAGGCTTGAAACTTAAACTAGAGAAATTCGTTCATGCAAATTAACTGATCATAGCATTGATGCAATATTGGTCTTAACCTGTGATCAAGCAAGAAGAACTCAACAGTTTACTCAGTTTTGGATCATACTACTGATGAATTGTGGCCACCTTTTTCAAGTTTGCTAAACTATTATCAGCTCCCATTAAAATTAATATGCACCTCAAATAGAATGTGAGTAAGCATTCCAGTGTCTAAAGTGTGCTTTAGTAGAAGCACTAGTGCTGGCATATCCATGACAGGACTGAGTTTCTTGTTAGATGCCAAAGCTAGAAATAGTGGGTGGTGTTTTCAGAGTTGAAGGACAGAGTAGAACATATAATGACATCCAGTTGTCATATGCTTATGGTTTCAGAAAGCAGATACTGTACAACAAAGATAGAACTGCTTAAAGTTGTGCTCTGTGTAAAACTATTGACACTACTTGTATGGTAGAAAGTTTGCTATTCAAGTGGACCAAGCATCACTGAAGTGGTTAATGAACTTTAAAAATATGAAGTAATGACTGCACATTCGATAATAACATTGTAGGATTTATATTTAGGTAAATAGCATCATTCAGGCCTGTAACATTCCATTTGTCAAATGTCCTGACTCTGAACAATGTGTGAGAGTTGAAAACATTTCTGCCGTAGCAATGACAAACCATGCAAAATAGATCCATTAGTGAATGGATGCCACAGTTGTCTTTAGTAGCTCTGGAAAGAACAACTGAAAAACCCAGATCTATTGTGGGTGCTCTTTGTCATGCAGCAAGGTGAAGCCTGGCCAGCTCAGACTGAGAAACACTGCATAGATGAACCTCACCTATGGTATTTGTGCTGTACCATCGTTACCAAACACCAATCAGTAATTATCCGATTGTGTTGCAGCTAGCAGTCTCAAGAGCTTTGAGGTATGAGATTCTTTAGATTTTGAATAACACAAAGATTGTAGACTATCATGATGTTACCTGCACTTGTGTTAATGTTTGACAGCAGTTCTACAAGTTTTAACTGAGTAAAAACTTGCCCTAAACAGGCAAACTCCTACAGAAAAGTACTGGTGACCCTTTGGAGAGAACAGCTCCGTGTATAGCTGGTCCACTCAGAGACACAGAACAAAGTTCTCTGTATAAACTCTTGGTGATAAACTGTTTCAGGAATGGGGACGAGAATAGTCCGCTGATGGATATGTCAACACAGTCTATGGCTGATGTATTGACAGAACACTGGACAGCCTAAGTGCCAGAAGGGGGAATAATTTCAACAGCCAGTTGTTCTCCAAGTTATGTAGTGTTTGGTGTGGTGATGAATTTGCTTTATCCTTCCTAGTCTGATGGTCTAGTAGAACAGATGATACAGTCTATCAAGTGTGTGTTTGCCATGTTTGTTAATCCTGGCCAAACTGACTGGGACGAGTAATTACCATATGTCATGATGTTGTACCACACAACTGTACAAAGGTCAATAGGCTACATGCTGAACATGCTCATGTCTAGGTAAGAAACCCCACTCCCTGTCAAGTGATGTAAGGTCCTTTCCGTAGAGTGATTAAGGTCTGTTTTAGCCGATATGCACATGTTCGTATAACAATAGCTAGGAAAAGGTGTTTTACATCAGAAGTGCTACAGGACAGTGAAGGAACGAGTGTACCAGCATGTAAGCCACTCAGCTTCAGCAGGACAGGAGCTTAGCTTCTGCTCTGATGAATCAGGTCATTGTCATACAAGTTACAGCAATCGAGAGGCTCACAAAAACATGCACTGCGTGTAAGTTAGATGCATCTATACATTAACAACAAACCTCTTGTGCACTGGCCTTACCAAGAATCAGAGGAGGAGAATGACGAGTCAGAGTAAGAACAGAGTTTTATCTCGGTCCACCCTGACACAGTAGAGGAGAAAAGAGATGAGAGTAATTATCTGGCTGTTTACAACTACTACAGTTGGCTAAGGCATAAAATTTCCATATCCTTAAATTATGATAGTTTCTTAGCAAATACAAACATAAGCTTTGGGATGGGCAGATAAAATTATAAAAAAAAATCTATAAGTGTTGTTTACAAGTGAAGGCCAATGGAATTGTTCATTAATGTGAGTTTGACTTCTATTTTTTTCATATTTCTTTGCAAATTACACTAGATAAATGTTAGAAATATCATTTTTTTCTTAAATTTTAAATTTAATATTCAGGCATACACTTGACCCCTGAAAGCTGCTCACCAGTCTATAAATTCAAATTTTCCTGACAAATTATGTCCTTCATAAGCTAAATAAAAATACAGTTTGTTTCTTAAATTGGTTTTCAATGAGAAATGCAATTTGATCAATGAGCACATGAAGTTAAAATTTTTAATTCAATACTGCTAGAATTGTAGTAATGTACCAAGTAAAAATATATAGTTATTGTGATGAAACTTTGTAGAGACACAAGTATAGAGGTCATCATTAATACTCTGTCTAAACGATCTATCAAAGTATACTGTTATCATTTTCTTTTCCCACTGAGGTAACTGGAAATAGGATTATTTCCACTTTTGTGTATTTAATAAGATTATTAAATGTACCACACTTAATATATGAAAAACCTATTGTCTAAGAAACATTGGTTGGGAAGAGAGGCAATTTAGTACTAAGTTGAGTATTTAAATTGAGAGCAATTTCCTTTATTTATTTATTGAATAATTATGTACACAGAAAATACCCAACACAATGGCTTCCTTACCTGTCCATCAGATCCTCCAGAGTTTTCATCCATCATCATAAGACTTACTCGTACAGCATCGCTAATGGATGACAGAGAACGTGATGAAGCCTCGGTTTTGTTCTGTTGACAGGCCTTGTTTGATGCAGCTGGGACTTTCAACTGAGGCATGCACTTTCCTGAAACACCTGCAGACTGAATACCACTTACACTTGCAGCAGAAAACTGAGTATTTACACTCCTCTGAGAGTAATGGGAGGGTAAAAACTGAGAGTCAGATCTCTTTACTGAGTCAACAGAATATCTGCTACCTAAGGAACTTTCACTTGGAACCTGAGATGTCTTACTTTGTGGTTTAGACTTTGAAGTAGATTCTGGATGCTTGCCCATTTCTTTCTTTGGCTTTAATTTTCTGGATGGAGTGGGCTTCTTAGCTTTGTTGGGAACACTTACAGTCTGGACTGCAACAAATGACAGGGACTGAGAACCATGCTGAAGTTGAGCCTGACCACTTGCTACAGGTTGAGCCAAACCAGGAAGACCAATAAGTACAGGAGAATTAGGTGGGAACAAGCTGTTAACTCCTGTTTTTAAAGTTCTATCAGAACCACTAGCAGTTGCAGTAAATGCTGTAGTCAATGTTTGTGTGCCCATCCCTGTGGTTTTTAAAGATGTTGTAGTTGTGGTAGTAGTAGTAGTCACAACTGTGACAGAAGGGAGAAAAACAGATGTTGAATTTCCTGTAGTCCTAACTGCAATATACTGATTTGAACTACTGGACTGGCTTGTTTCTTTAGCATGCAAGCATGATGTTTGTGACACAGTATTTTGGGTTGTTTTAGTACCTGATACTGAACCTACTACATGAGATTGACCTGCAGCAATACTGGTAGAAACTAGGTTTCCTCCACCACCTTGAATGCACACAGGTACCGATGCAATGGTCACTCCAGGCGTCGATACTAAACTCATTATCTTTTGGTTATTTTCTACCCTTACCAAAGAACTGACCACCTGGGATGATCCTGAAGCAATACTTGTAGATGCTAAACCTCCATTAACAGCTTGAATACATACAGGGACACCTGTAAAAGTCATTCGAGATTTAGACCCCATATTTGTAATTTTCTGATTACTACCAACGCTAAATTTTCGCTGGCCTGGGACTTTACGATACTCTAGAGATCCTGGACGATTTCTTACAGGTGTCCAAATTCGTTTCTTTTTCTGTCCTTTTTGAAAGTCTACGTTTTGACACAAGTTTTCTTTAGTAGAAACCTTGTTTTCAGGCTTTGGAGGAGCACCTCTGACAATGATAACGCTTGGTATGGCTACAGTTGCAGGGTTCCCAGATCCTGCTGACATAACCGTTGGGTGTTGCATAAGGAAATTTTCTTTTGTTATGACATTGTTGTTGCTCATATTGTTTACAGGTATCACTAATCTTCCAGTAAGCACTCTTCCTCCACCATTCTGACCTCCCCCACTTCCTCTCCAACCAGGTAAAGTTAAGGTTGCCACAGCAGGCACATGCTGACTGATCTCTTCTAGGTGCTGATGTGATATATTTAATTTTTCTGCTGCACTCACTGAAACTGAAATAGTTGCATCAGTTTGGGACTCTAATTCATGGGATGGAAGTACTTTATTCATGGTCCTGATGTTTAAAACAGGGGATACTGTAAGTGTAGAAGGTGGCTTTTGAATGGTATCCTTATTGCTTACAATGACAGGAACCTCTGTTGTTGAAGATGTTGATATGGAAGAAGAAATGCAAGAGCGGGATGCTGAAACAATTGTGGAGTCAGGTCTTACAGTATTTGGTAATATGGGAGTAGTGCTCGGCCTTGTTTTACAAACTGTTGTAGTGACAGTAGACACTGAATCCTTTGATCCAGCCATTCCTCCAAAAAAGATGCAGTCTCTCAATTTACTACACAAAATTGGCTGGTTCAAAGAAAATTGGGCTTCCAGTGGCCTTCCATGTGCAAGCTTCTCTTCAATCTTTGAAGATTTTCTAGCTGGTGACAAAATAAGACTTTTCTTCTTAGGATCAGAAGGTGCAAAAGTCTGTCTTGAAGGTGTTGGAGTAAATAGTGTGATAGCACGTTTTGTATTTATTTCACTTATGTCTTTTTTCTTGTTAGATGAAGTGGGGGATCCAGACAAGTCAGATTTCTCATGAAGACATGCCTTAGTGTTACTTTTAATCATTTTCTTTCCCATTTTTTTCCCTTGTTTCCTATATTTTACTTTTTTGAACCTTGTGTTCTTATTTTCTACAGTTTTTTGTTTGTGAACACTCTCAAAAAACTTCAATTTCTTTACTTTCTGATTTCTTTCTATCTTTCTCTTCTTTTTCTCTATCTGAAGGAGCTGCTGGGCAATTCTTTCGGCTTCAGAATCTTCAACAGATCCTGAAGATAGTAGTTGCGATATAAGTGCAATTTTAGAATTTTTCTCACAACTCAAACCACCGGACACTGAGGGAAGCATATGATTTTTCTCAACAACAGTAGCATTACTATCCAATCGTGACAATAAAATATCCACACATTGGTTAATCAAGGACGATAAGTCAATTTCCAAGCTATTTGAACTTGGTGTGAGTCCCAGAGATGCTGCACATTCTAGAATTTGACTTCTAACTTTATCTTTCTTTTTAAACTTTCGTTTTTTACATCTAACTTTTTCAAGTCCAGTTTCACCAGAACCATCCCTATCTTTTTCTTTTTTAGTTTTCCTTTTTTTCTTTCTCTTCTTCTTTTTTAGCTCATGGTCAACTTCGGCTTTATCCCTTTTAATATGTGCTTTCTTCAAAGTCTTTAGTTTCTTCACAGAGCCTTCTTTTAAATCTTTTTTAGCTTTTCGAAGTTTTTTAATACCCTTCTTCACTGGCAATGAAAGTTTATAGTCAACTGAATTACTGGATATGGCAAGTTCTTTACTGTTTTCATTATTAATAGTAGACAAAGGAAGATTAGTAGAATTATTATGTTTATTGCATATGGTGTTTTGCTGCATAGTTCCAGCATATTTTCCATTTATTTCTTCCTCTGATGCTGAATCTGTTTCACTGTCTGCACTTTCGTATGTGTGACTGTGCTGCATTATAGTCTTTAGGGCAGATGTGGTAGCAAGATACTCTTCACACACTTGTTTCATTTCTTCACAAGAATTCCCACGTTTTAATAATTGGCATCTCATACACTCTAGCACCATCACAAAGTCTTTAAGAAGAGAATATGGCACACCCTGAATATGCACATCTAATACAGGATGTGGTAATCGGTACACATATTGAGGTCTGCCATCTCTACACAAATGAGCTAAAACCTCTGGTTCTTCGGAAGGAGTAGAACACCTCCCACCACACATACAGTCATTTTTTACAGATTCATCATTACTGATAACAACATCCTGGACCCGAGCTAGTAATCCTTCAAGGAAAGCTTCAGAGACAATACTTCCATCACACTGTGATTTTGTAGCTCTTGTTGCTATTCGTTGCATCACTTCTTGCAACAGATTTAGCCTCTCCCATGTTGGATCAATACTGAAGGCACTTAAAATACATTCAAGTGAAATCTCGTCTTGTTTCTTTTCAAAAAGGGTACCTAGCTTGCTATATATGTTGGCTACATGAGCTTCCAGTTCCAATATCCTATCTGCAGCCCCCTCATATCTGGCTTCTTCAAGAAAGTTTAAATCTACCGTCAAGCCTCGTACGTAGAACTCTAAATACAATGGTAACATCAACTGTCCATACTAGGGGAGAAAAAAATATAATAGATTCAGTCTACATCTTTATCCTGTTAATAAGTGTGGTAATAAGAGTATTCATACAAAACTGAAGCTAAAGATTGCTTTAATTAAGACTATAACTTGAAACCTCAGAATGTCTCTGCTACCCAAATTAATATGTTAAATAGATAAGGATTTAACTATTTCATTACTGTTTAAAAATTGATTTTTCCTAAAATCATACTTAAACTCTCATAAATAATTGTATTTTTTTACTTGCAAACCAGTAGATTAAATGTTGAGTACGAGTTAGATTTTAGTTTCGATGTAAAACTCATAACACTCTTAGTAAAAAACAAACCAATGACATTTATAACACAAAAATGGAACTGAGCCATGTGCCATCACAAACCAACATATTTAATTTTTGAGTGCTTTTGGAATTTTTTACATTTTTAGAATTAAACCTCCAAAATACTGAAAAAATTTCCTTGTTGAGGTTGTACACATCGTATCAACAAACCACGACTCAAAAATTCTGAATATCCTTTACGTGTTGCAGATTATATGTCACCCATAATTCTTAACTTTCCCATCTACCATGTGACTTATTGCATATGCATCACCGGGTCTTACATAAGCTCCACTTTCCTGTCAAAATTTAGGTTTTATTAAAAGTAGCAGTTGTGATGAAAACCTGGTTGTGAGGATATAGATGGGAAGCCCTTTCTTGTATGCACTCTTTGTTAATGACCTCCCACAACCCCTCACACCACTCATGCACACATCCCACTACGCAGGTGACATTGCTATCTGGTGCACTTCCAGAGACCCCATTCTAACAGATTTCAAAATTCAAAAATTAATCAACAGAATCACAACTTGGTGCAACAAATGGAGAATCAACCTGTATACAAATAAGACTCAAGCTATAATATTCCATAGAAGCCTCAACAAAAAGTACAAAAAACTTAAGACTATAAAACTAAAACTCTACAACTCCACTATCACCCTAATCTTGTCAATCAAGTTCCTAGGCATGAAGTTTAACCACTATCTCACATGGCACTCACACATAAAAGAAATCTACAAAAAGCTTCAAGCAAGAGTATCACACTTCAAAAAAAACAAAGCCATCATATACACCGTTACAAATCACAAGCCATTCTTCACATTTACAAAATATTGATTAGACCCCTTAATGGAATATGGTTCTATGATCACCTATAACATGGAAGAAATCCAGTTCTCTAAATTACTAAAACTACAAAACATTCTCTGACACAACATGTCTGAAGATATGTACGTCACTTAGAGGTGAAATCCCTTGAAGGTGTCTCATGTGAACATGAAAGGAATCGCCTAATAAATAAGCCACCATCTCCAAATCAAAGAGGACATCTTTGGTACATGGTTGTGAGAAGACAAGTAGATGCACCAGAGACTCCAGCAAAAAGAGATGAGTGAATACTTCTTTGAAATGTTTGTCCCAAATCCTAGATGCACCAGATACAAAGAAGGTATAAGTTGAGACTTGGACTCATGAATAAACCATTCCAGAAAGGAAGCTAACTGAGTGTGAGTTAATGATTAAAAGTGACAACTGAATGACAATATGTCAATTATCCACATAAATTTGGTACTAAGACCAACAGATGCTTTGATGACACATGTGAAGACATAAAATACTGAAGCTAGACTGAAAGAGTGGACAGTGAACTGATATACCACTCCCCATTGGTAAGAATGAGGGAAATTTTTAGAAGAAGGAGTAAACTGGAACATCCATTTAAATGTCTCTGATAACCACTTTTGCCATTCAAAAACCCTGACAGAGGAAGTTTGTAAGATGCTCATGGTTTCTATCTTGAATGAGAAATATCTAGATAATGAATAAGATGGGAAAGATCTATTAACAGTTTCCAATCTTCTGATTTCTTGGGTACTATGAAAATCTGGGAAAACATATTGTTTTGATAGCCTTTTTCTGTAAAAAGATTTGAAACTTTCTAATCAAAAATTTGAAATACAAACTGGATCAGAGAGAATAGGAAAATTGGATGACAATAATGAAACTGGAGAGAAATTTGAAACTGAAAAATCTGATAAGCCCAACAGATGAACAAATGATCCAAGATGCCCCTACCATCCCACCCACCCCCAAAAGTATGTGTGGGTGTAGAGTGAGAAGTAGTTGATGAAGGTAAGGCAGGAGGATGAACATTACTTCTCTATCATCTTGAAGAGGGACAATAACCAGATGCAAAATCAGATGCTAAAACTCTAATCAGCTTCTGATGGAAACCTCTTTTTAGATCAGCTGTAAGAACTGGGGATAACAGAAACAATACAAGAGTGACCTGGAGTTAATGAAGTAGATATCTAATCCTTATAAAATAAAAGCTAATAACTGTGCAGAAGAAGAATGGCTCAAAACAAGACAAATAATAGCATGCATGACAGAATTCCCTATCTATAATGTATATTGTTTTTATATGCATTAGATTCCCAATTTATTATTTGTAGAAGTATTTTTCCACTGGTACTGGTATGTGTATTTATAAGAGTTGAATATGGTATTAGACCTTAATAAAGTCGGAATTAAGTTTATTGCAATGACTTTAAATTTATTATTTACCATTACTGTAACATTTTAAAAACATAATGAAAATGCTAGTAAAATGCTGATAGGGCTTATTATGTTTGTTTGTTTTGAATTTCGCGCAAAGCTACACGAGGGCTATCTGCGCTAGCCGTCCCTAACTTAGCAGTGTAAGACTAGAGGGAGGGCAGCTAGTCATCACCACCCACCGGGAACTCTTGGGCTACTCTTTTACCATCATGGCCATCTTGTTAGGCTTTGTACTAGGTCTAGGATACTCATCCGACATGCTTGTTTCCTCTTTTTTACCTCTTGCAGAGTTTTTGAACATAGATTCTGTATATTATCCTGACCGAACTTAGACTCAGTATCTCTGTATTTAGCCTTTTTCATGTGAGATTTCAATGCAAATTTTTTTCACATTTGGGACGATTAAAGATTTGTTGGAAATGTGACATAGCACCTTCCCTTTGGCTTTGTCCCTAACAATACAAGTTTTGTATGTGGGATTTGATACCCAATTGCCTCCCAGGCATTTTCACAATACTTCCTACCATATAGACTGCAAGATCCTTTACATATTAAATCAAGGGTCCATACAATACCATTTCCAAAAAGAAAAAAAAAAGCTACTAAGCAACTGTAATCACTTGTTACTGGTCTATTTCAGTTATATATTTTTTTTTCAAGCGACCTTTTCCAAGTGTTTTCAAAGACTTTTATCAATTTTCCAGGTGTGGAAAACAAATTTTAATTCTCCATGACTTTTCCAGGATTCTCATGACCTATACATTTCCTGCAGAAAACTGAAGATAGAACACATGGAACTCCCCCTAAGCTAAGGGACAAGAACTGAAGAAACAATATGTGAAGTGGAATATGAAGTCAATTGATAATGTACTAGTTTCTAAAAGTATTAGTGACAACTCGAATACCAGGAGAAAGTAGAAGAAATAATTATTCAAGTACTGAACCATCAAACACCACACTAGCTCCCTTAGATGTAGCAAAAAATAATTCAAAGTTTAAAATAGAACATACATGAGAGAAAAGAGAAATCAGGATTAGGGATAGCACAAAAATTATCTGCAAACTTTGAAGGCAAAGAGGCCTTAGAAGAAAAAAAAATCGATCTTGTTCAGATCATGAGAAAAACAAATAGCAGGTGTTATTCAAATTGAGCACCCACAAGATTGTAAAACCCACCAAGGTCACCAGCAGATAACTTAGCATTATTCTCCTCAATATGCTGATCAATAAGAAGCTGACAATGCAACCACGGGAACATCTCACAGGCAAACTGCCTCCAAAATTCTTCCAACGCTGTTGGAAATATCTGAATCAGAACAAGAATTGACGTCCAAATTTATTATAGAAACTTACAAATTTACACTATTAAGATTAAAATGAATTTCAAACAGGTGCTCACCTCTAAAATTCTCTTCAATCCATCCCCCCACATACACAACCATGCTTTCATCACAACTGCAACTTTCAACAAAGCCTACATTACCTAGTGAGGTAAATGGACATTTAAGGTATTACACAACCACAACTGTTATGTTGGATAACATTAAGATATACAAATAATATGAGAATGACATAGTTTGTCATCATTTAAAAAGGCCTAATACTGAGAAAATAAGAAGTTTAACAGTGGCCTACATATGATAGAAAAAAATTAGTTGAAATGCATACACTCATCTGACTCAGAACTTATACTCAAATCTCTAGGTGTACGACGTAATAATTTGAATGTTTTTACAAACGCATTAAAATGTGCCCGTCATTGACTCGGCGGTAAATCTGTAGGCTTATAACACTAAAAGCTGGGTTTCGATATCTGTGATGGGCGCAACATAGATAGCCCATTGTGTAGCTTTGTGCGCAATAACAAACATTACTAGTGGTTCATAATAGGGATCACCAATGTGTTCTTCATTATTATTATTTAATATTTTCCCCCAGCTTACAGCAAAAATGGCTGAGTATTGTAATAAAACCTGGGCAATATTACTAAACGCATCATTGCGCATCGTGTAAGGTAGTTTTAAGTTCATTTGACTATCTAGTAAATAACGGCGATTGTATAAGCGTTGACATATAATCGTTTTAATGTAGTCTGTGGTTTATATGGAGCCTCATAATCTACTACATGAATACGCATATTGCTGCATACAGACCGTGGATGTAAGCTAATGTTTATATAGCAGATATGACACGTATCATTGCGATTATTAACTAATTGTTGCAACTGTATTGATGTTGTGTATCATTTATTTCTTCCTACCCTTTTGGACATGACCACAGTTTTTTTTAACACTGCATGATCGATTGCGACCATGTTACACAAACATCTAAAACGTTATACAAACTTCTAGGCTGTCACCCACAACAGAAATCTTTATGCCGTAGTTTAAAA